ACAAAGTAATGTCTCTGCTTTTTAATATGCTATCTAGGTTAGTGACTTACAACTGAGATAACTGATTGTTGGCCCTGCTTGGCCATTTAGAAACAATCATATGAAGTTGGATTTTTCCTATTCGAAATAATGAATGGTTTAATAAAGGCCTCTGTAATACCATTTGTTAGTTGAATTTTAATGAGTTCTGTTAAATAAATGAAAAACCCTTTTTTTTTATTGGCACTCAGGGATTTCTGGTAGTACAGGATTAAAACACAATGGGTCTCAATACATGTGTCAACTTTACTTATGAGACAAAATTACTTATCCTAGCAGGATGAGGAGTATGATGTTTTCTAGAGGTCAAGAACCAATTTAAGAAGTTGATGGTGCTTTTTAAGTGGCCAAGAGGAAGAATCTCTACAGAACTCTGACCTTAACAGTACAGGTCGATCCCAACTTACAAGCAGATTGTGTTCCAAAAATGTTTCACTGTCAGTGACTTGTTTGGCACTTGAACTTCATTTCTCCTGAGAGATGGCAAGATAAGTAGAAGCTGTGAGCCCAGTGGCTATAAATAAAGGAGGCAGATTCGAGTGCCCCAGTGAGAGAGAAGCCTATACATTCTCAGCTCTGCAGACAGGAAGCAATAGACCTGGACATGTTCTGACGAGCTGGCCACTCATGGGAAAAGTATGCAGTTCTTTGAGTAGAACATGAATGAGACTCATTTCTAGCTCTCCCACCTTTCATCTACTTGTCTTTCCACAGGTTACCTCTCTGAACCTCAGTTTCCTCATATCACACTGCAAAAATGACACCAATTTGCAATACAAATTTTTTTCTTTTTTTATGCCAGCCATGTATATCAAGATACATACAATGATGCTTGTCCTTCACTATCTCCCAAAGTTTGCTCAAATTCATGAGCTGGTGATGCTGTCTAACCATCTCATCCTCTGCCACTGCCTTCTCCTCCTGCCCTCAACCTTTCCCAGCATCAGGGTCTTTTCTGGTGAGTCAGCTCTTCGCATCAGGTGGCCAAAGTATTGGAGCTTCAGCTTCAGCATCAGTCCCTCCAGTGAATGTTCAGGGCTGATTTCCTTTAGGATGAACTGGTTTGATCTTCTTGCTGTCCAAGGGACTCTCAAGAGTCTTCTCCAGCCCCACAGTTCAAAAACATCAATTCTTTGGCACTCAGCCTTCTTTCTGGTCCAGCTTTCACATCTGTACATGACTACTGGAAAAACAAATAGCTTTGACTAATATGGACCTTTGTCAGCAAAGTGATGTCTCTGCTTTTTAATATGCTGGCTAGGTTTGTCATAGCTTTTCTTCCAAGGAGCGTCTTTTAATTTCATGACTGCAGTCGCTATCGGCAGTGATTTGGAAGCCCAAGAAAATAAAGTCTGTCACTGCTTCCACTTGTTCCCTTTCTATTTGCCATTAAGTGATGGATCAGATACCTTGATCTTTGATTTTTTTTCATGTTGAGTCTTAAGTCTCTTCCTTGGTGGCTCAGACAATAAAAAATCCGCCTGCAGACTGGAGACCTGGGTTCGATGCCTGGGTTGGGAAGATCCCCTGGAGACGTGAATGGCTACCCACTCCAGGAAACTTGCCTGGAGAATTCCACGGACAGAGGAGCCTGGCGGGCTAAGTCCATGGGGTCACAAAGAGTTGGACATGACTGAGGGACTTTCACTTTAATCCTCTAGCCTTAATCCTTTTCACCAATTGATTACCATGTCCTATAGTTTTTACTTTTTAAATCTCTCTAAAATGTTTCTATTTCCCTCCACCTCCACTGCACTACCCAAGATAGAGCCACCCCATCTCTTTGACCACAAGACCCTTAAATGTGCCCCAGTCTCTCCCACTTGGACTTTTGACTAAGGGATGTCCTGTTCCTGTTACTGTTCTCCTCTCATCCATTCTTGATAGCTTAAGAGCTCTTCAGAACTTTTTAAAATGCAGGTCTGATCCCCTGGGTTCCAGCTTAAAATCATTCAATAGCTTCTCATGGTGCTTTGGATAAAAACCAGACTCCTTAACTTGAATTTTGAAACCCTGCATTATGTGACCCCTGCCGCCTCCTCCATCCTCATTCATAAGCACTTGCTGCTATGCTCACCTGTTGGGGTCCCTTCAAGTGCCACGCTTGCTCCCTCCTCCATGTCCAGCCATGAAACAGGTGGTCCTCTTGCCTTGGAGCGCTTACCTTAATTACCTGGCCAACTGCTACTAATACTTAGGATCTGACTTCACTACATGCTACCCTCTCTGTATAGGGTGTAGGCTAGTCTTGACCCCATAGGTGATTGGGGGTCAAGAGCAACCCCCAGTGCTCCCCCTCTCAGAAAGCTTGGTTGTGATTTCGAGTTGAGTTGTGTAGTTTTCCTTCAGATTAGAAGGCTGGTGTTGTAGGGGAAGGTGGGGGTAAAGAGTACACAGATTTCAGCTCCACCCTGTATTCACTGGTCACGTTATCATCTTTATGCTGCTTGCCTCACAGAGTTACCCTGAGAGTTCAGTGAGATAATACTGTGTGTGTGTGCGCACACGTGTAAATAGACAATAGGTGCATGCATGCTCAGCTGCTCAGTGATGTCCAGCTCCTTGTGACCCCATGGACTATAGCCGGGTGGGCTCCTCCATCCCTGAGATTTCCCAGGCAAGAATACTGGAGTGGGTTGCTGTGCCCTCCTCCAGGGGATCTTCCTGACCCAGAGATGGAATCCAGGTCTCCTACATTGGCAGGTGGATTCTTGACCACTGAGCCACCTGGGAAGCCCTGTATATACATATATGTGTATATATATAAAAGGTTTAAGTGTATTAACTAGTCCATTTAAAATAAGTCTTCGATAAGCTGAGATGCATGCATAGTGAGTATTTAGTAGATGCAGACTTTTTGTTGTTGTTTTGTTTTGCTGTTTTAAGCTGACTATTCCTAAATCAGTTTTACTGGGCATGCACTTTATCTTTTTTTTTTTTTAATGTTCCACTGGCTAAGATTAGAGTCCCAAAAGTAAAAAATGTGAGTACTGTGTTTGCTTTCCCATTTGCTCATTTTTTCCCCAGTCTGTGTAGGGGTGATGTAAAGGTGTAAAGTGATGTAGAATGTGGGCAAAGATGATATTCCCAGAGACTGTTTGCCAGTCAACCCTAGGGGATCTCCTGCCTTATTAGCTGTACATTCCGCCTCTGCCCAGAGTTCCCGAGTCCTTGCCTGTTTCAGACCCCTTCCTGTTAGAGTCACTGGCTGGGCAGGGCCGTGCCGGGAGGCCTAGGCAGCAGGCCCATTCAACAAAGACAGGACCAGAGAAGGCACGCAAATCAAAGCATTCTCAGGGCTTCCTACTTCAATCTGTTAAAAAAAAAATGTGTGTGGTTGCATGTGTTTTCAATGGAGTCACCAAATAAATTTCAAAGGCAAAACAGAAATTAGTACCGCATGAGCTCTGTGACATTTGTTAAAGGTCTTTGGAGAAGATGACAAAACAGGGAACTTCCCACATCCATGGGCCCTGAGGTTTGGTGCAAACATTGTGTGTGAAAAATCAATAAACATGTACCTCGCCACTGAATTTTCTGAGGGTGGACTTATTACCCCTGTTCCCGGAGAGTCACCAGGCTTCGGAAGAGGTCTTGTCATTTTGATTTTCGTATGAATCACTGGGTCTCTTGCCCCCAGAGGCACTTGGTTGTGATTCAGTGTGGAACACGCTGAAAGGACTCGGCTTCCGGGAGTCCGTGGTGCGGTGGGGGTTGTGGTGGTTCCGCGTTGGCATGAGGCTTAATCGACACCTTTGATGTAGCCTAAGACAGAACCCGCACCTCCCACTGCTGCCTGGAAGACGTCAGCCTTACGCAGGAAAGGCATCTGCTGATGAATCCTGCATCTCATTCAGCCTGCTCTGGGAGCAGCCTTAGCCATCCTTAACTAATCCAGCCGCTTCCCTCCTCCTCCCTCCGCGGTGCTGGGTTTAGTGCTGAGAAGGGATTTCGCCTCTTGCTCTTGTCAGGTTAGACACTGAGACTGTGTCCATGTTAGAACTCATAGAAGGTAAGTTAAATGCATGATCGCTCTCTCCCTCATGGAAAAATGTTTATGTTGAACCCTGGAGAATATGTGTGTCTCACTGCTAACCCTACTTCCTTGGCTGTGGATGTAAAACATCTAACAAAAGAAAAGTTGACATTTTTACAGGCAGAATAGTGGCAACTCGATACATCTTTGTAGACTCCGGTCTTTAAGTGTTTTATCAGTTCTTAGAGGGACTGCTACAAAGAGAAAAGGATGACTTACTTGAGTTCTGTGACTTTGATTCAGTCTAGGGATAATGTGTAGCAGTCTTGAGAGACAGGTTGATTCTGGTGATTTAAACCTATTTAAAAGAAAAAAAAAAAACAGTTTTATCTTCAACAGCAGGACAAACTAACTGAGGAGTTTCTGAGTATTTGTGCCAATTACTTCGTCCTGCTGGAGGCAGGTCCTTCCAAGTTAGGCTGAGGGATGTACAGGGCACAAGTGGATGCAGGAACTTAACTAGACTTGAGTGCTTAACTCTTAAAAAGACAGCAGTCTGCTTTCACATGTCACTGGGAATATTGCTTATGAGCTGTGCTAATACTTACTCCCACTGGCTTGTACTAGGAAGCTAAACTAAAGAATTAAGCATGAATTCCATTGAAAAATGTCTCAGAACCACATGCCTAAGATCTCTGTGGGCACAGTTAAAAGCATCATTAATAAATCATCAAAAAAGCTGTGCAAAGTACATTTTTTTTCCTATGTAACCTGCTGCTATATTTAACACAGGATTCACAAAACAAGTGAATTTCTGAAGAAGGTTTCTCCCTGAAGCTAGTGTTCAGGACTGTAGATAAAAAGGTGTCTGGAATTTTAGCAAATGTCCCTCTTTAATTGTTTGTTGCTCTGTGAAGCTGAGTTGTCAGGAGAATTCTTTAATAAGCCTTTTTTTTTTTCTCTCTGTGATTCTCTGTGCTTCCAGTTAATGGAACCCCGGGTAGTCAGCTCTCTACTCCACGCTCGGGCAAGTCTCCTAGCCCATCACCCACCAGCCCCGGAAGCCTGCGGAAGCAGAGGGTAAGAGAATAAGCGAACTCCTTGTTTAAGACCTGTCCACGTCTTGGTGCAGATGGCATGGTGCCAGCAAACAGCCCTCTCGAGTTGGGGCTTCTTATCACTAAGGAAGAACCAGGTGAGGGCAGGAGATGACCGACAGTGGGTCACTGGTTTTGGCTCTGGTTTCTCTTAGCTAGGACTTGGGACCTTAAGTTTCCTGGTAAAACTTGTCCTGATCTTCATTCCAAGAATAGACAGTTGCTGCTTCACTTTTAAACACCTTTCTCTTTTTGTCTAGAATGCACAAAGATTTTAATGGCACTGGTTTGTAAACTTCCTGGGCTATCAGGATTTTCACTGGAGGCCTCATAGCTGGTCACCAGCCTTCCTTAAGAAAGGAAAGTGCCTGGTTGGGAGAGGTGGCCGGGCCCTGGAGGGACTTGCTTTATGGCAGAGGATGGTGATCCAGAGCCGCTGAGGGTCTGTGCTGTGTGTGTGATGGGTACGTGTGACCTGTGTTTTTGTGAAGGAAACCCACACCAAGCACCTTATCTTTCATCATGACCTGCACATTTCTTGTAGCTTCTTGTATCATAATGGAGACGTTGATTGAGTTTGGAGATCAGAGTCAAAAGCTACCAGAAATGGTGTTAGTTTCTCCATTGCTAAGGGAGAGGCTAGGGGTTAGCTCTTCTTTCTGGATGGGAGAGCTGCTGTTTGGATCCGCTCACAGCCTGATTTATCCTTTCCAGCAGGATCGAGGCAAGAATAAAAGTAGTGGGATGGGGAGGAGGCAGATGGTACAGTGGAGGCAACAGGGGACCTTTCAGAGTCCTGATTTTACAGGCAAGGTGGGGAGGGATGTGTGCTCGTAGAAACTCTGAGGATGCTGTTCCCTGAATATTTTAATAGGTGAGGCTCCTTGACAACTTTTGAACTCAAACCTCGATTCTTGAATTTGATCTCTTGTCGTGTGTGCTTTAAAATGAGACTTCTATGTTCCATACATTTACACCGCCTCCAAGAGGGAAGCACCCCTTTGCAAGCCTCCTGCCAAGGTTGTGTTCACACACCCTCTAAAGTGGCAGGCAGGGGACTTGAGTCAACCCCTAATCCATTTGGAGCCTGGCCCGCCAACACAGCAGGTTGTATCATCCTGCTCCACTGAACCTCCGAATAGCAGGGCCAGCTTGTTTAGATGATCCAGTGAGGCCTGGAGCGGGGCACCAGTTCCTCTACTAAATGGCTGTGTTATCATAGGTAAGTCTGCGGTCCTCTCCAGGCCCCAGTCAAAAAACAAAAGACTCTTTCCAGATAGAAAACACTATCATTCTACTCTACTTCCATCTGAGTGCTATACCTATGCTTTCTTCTTGGTCACAATATAATTTGGCATTTTAAAGTATAGAATCATTAGTGACCTACTAGAAGAAGAAAGGTCGAGATTCATTTAATCTCTCAGATGTCTATGGTTGAGTGGAGGAAGGGGTAATGAGTGGTTCTTTTCTCATAAATGTTACCCAGCGAGGCCCCCATCTATAGGGGCAGGCCTTTAGAAATAGGACAGGGACTTACTTCCCTGGTGGTGCAGTGGTTAAGACTCCATGCACCCAATGCAGGGAGCATGGGTTTGATGCCTGGCTGGGGAACTAAGATCCTGTATGCCCCACAGCAAGGCCAAAAAATAAAACAAAAGTAAACTTCTAATTTAGAAAACAATAGGTCAGCTGGGGCCCTCTTGCATAGAACAGTTTCTCATTTGAAGTGCATACCCTGGAGAGTACACCTGGCATTGAAATCTCTCGTCATCTTCTGGGTTAATTACATTAGATTCAGGATTCAGCTCATGCTTAGTTGTCGAGGTTAGTGTGTTCGATTAGAGTGTTTGAGACTCCCCGCCAGCAACCTGAGCGTCTCTCCTGCTGGCTATATGGAGGAGACTTCCATCTTGGGGACATAAAACGCTTGGCACAGCTGTCCATTTGTTGGCAAATGAGGTTAGAATGTGCTGCTTCTTCTCTCTGTATTCCCTACTTCGCTATGACTGTGTCCAACTGAGGCAGAAAATTTCCATCCAACTCCTAGCAGCTGTGTGGCCAGTGGCTTATGTAATTAACACTGCCAGTGCTTGGGAAGTAATTATAAGGGATGGTCCTCTTAGAGAGTCTTAATTTTGTCATTTAAGCTACCAGTGCCAGCCCCATACTTGAGAGGGAAAAAACAGTCCCGTCTGTTTTAAGGAGACAAAGGTTTATCATCCTCTGAAAACAGTTATTAAACACATGTTGTGAGCAGAGCATGAGATAGTTTAGAGATGGTTCAGTTTCCAGGCTTTTGAATTTAGGCCATAAATGAACATCCTCCATCCATGTACCATGTCAACGAGTGGAAACATTCCCAGCTGCTTTAGTGAGAGGAGCTTTCATCTTGGTGTGGCGGCAACTACATCAAATAATCCCTCCCAGTTAAAATGAGCCTAGAATATCCCTAAAAACTGATCCTGTTTCAAATTTGGTTAATATTCTTCTCAAATGGTTGGCTGTACTCCTATGCAGGAAATACTGAAATAAGTGAAAGATGGCAAGTGCTAAAAGAAGACACTTCAAAGAATAAATATAACTCTTTCTATTGCAAATTGGAAAACAGTAGCTACTTTTATTTTTCCTTCTGTGTTGCCTAGCAACATGGCCAGGAAAATGAGTTGGCTGCTTCTCTCCCCAACACACACACACACACACACACACACACACACACACTCACACAGTCACACACACACTAACAGACACACACACACACTCACACACTTACATTCACACACACTCACACTTCCTACCTCATTTTGAAACACAGGAATGTAAGTTGCTTTTTTTTTTAAGGATTATTGAGACATTTGACTGCTTTTTCACAAATAAAATCTATATTTTTATTTATATCATTTATGATGGTTTAATCAGCTTTTTTTCCTTCATTTAAAATTATATTTTGTTACCTCCTTCCATACTTTAGAATAGTTCTATACAATAGGAATCTGTACGCCAGATACTTTTCTTCATGGAAACCCCAGTGGCAGTGTACCAAGTGACTGTCCTATTTTTCCTAAACACTCATTTAAATTGCTGTCTAGAAGTGTTTGGTCACAGAAGCAGATCCTGGAGGATCTCTTCTATCCATGAACTTTCTGGGGTCTCATTCCTTAATATATCGGGAAGAAACGTGTTGCATTGTGTGGGTCGAATGAAGCTCCCCATTATACTCCCACATGGCTGACTTTTGTAGATTATCTGATCCGTCAGATGATGTGAGGAGTGGGTGGTTCAAATTAGAAAGGAAGCCAGGATTCTAGACACTCTCTGCAGATCTGAGCTGGTTGCCTGGCGACCAGCAGAAGGATCTTGCAGCAGGAGGAGGCAGAGGGAAGAAGAGGGGAGGTGATGGGTGAGCCTTTAGGTAACCAGGGAGAACTTGGGAAGGGAGCGAGGAGGTCAGGTTCGCATTCTTTCTGTCTTCCAAACATATTGTTTTGAAAACGCAGTGTTTATTGGGTGTATGCAGTACACAAATGCAACCCTTGGGTTGCTGCCGTGGGACCGGAATTTGCTGAATGCCCGCTGGGGCGCCTAATAACTTATTGTGTGAGGTAAGCGTGTTCCTCTTCCCAGAATGGGATGGAAGTGTTTGAGGAAGAACTGCCTTGACACACAGTAGCAGGTTGGTACTCAGGGGCTGTAGAACTCGACACAGAGGCAGGCGAAAGCTCACAGCAGCTCAAGCCAAGAAGGCAAAATAGCATCCTTTTCATCTGTCTAGATGGCTTCTCAGTTATGATCTTTCCTCTTAGCCAAACGTGGTGACTTTAGAAGGTCTAACGACATTAGAAACCAAGGATGCCCATTTGGTATTGCTCCACTCCTAAGAGAACCACAGGGCACCTAAGAAACCCAAGTAAACAAGTCTGTACCGCCCTTCGTCTTACAGGACCTGTATCGCCCCCTCTCTTCGGATGATTTGGATTCAGTAGGAGACTCAGTGTAAAAGAGACCATGGAGCAGTGTGTATGGTTTGTGGTTGGGTGAAGGTTTCACGTTTCCTAAGCAAAAGTCTAACAGCGAAATACACAAAAGAGTTTTGCATACCATGAAGTGATAAACCCCAAATCATATAAAAGGAAATATCCAGGCATTTCATATTAATCCTTGAAGGGGATTATTTTTTTTTCCTATTGAGGAGATTTGATTAATTTGATTGAGGAGATTGAACACAAATGGTCTCAATTGGTGAGGTTTTTGTGCCAGACCTGGCTCTAGATGAATTTCATATATGGGCCCGACCTTAGTGTCAGAACACACTAATGGTGTAGCAAGACAGAGTCATAATTTCTGTAGATGGGGTTTTCTTTTTAATCAGAAGTAGACATGTAGATACAATTTTTCTGTACCTTTCTGGTGCAGGTTTTCTAGCTAAGTAGATTAAAATGGCACTAAGCAGACATTTTCTCCTGAAGTTACATAGTCTTCTTAAAATTTGGATTTTAAAGTACTTTTATTGCAAATTAATGAAAGTATTCGATTAGAGTTCCTTTTCTTCCTAGACAATATTCAGAGCTACTTATCATACTCCTCATATGTGAATTAACATATGAGGAAAAACAGTCATGTGAAATATACAACTCATGAAGACTTACATGAAACACTAGGAACTTAATTTTTGTTGTTAAAAGTAAATTTTACTCTTTATACTTATCTTTCATTGAAGACAGCATAAGCATAGATTAAACATGAAGAACTTGTTTAATGGCATTACTGTAAATTATATAATTCCTCCTTACAATCATGTATGCAATTTTTCACACGTATAAAGGCTGAAGTTAGGAAACTTTTTTTTTTAAACATACAGACCTAAAAAAAAAATGTGTTTGGACTTCTTCCAAAAAACCAATTTGAAAAGCAAAAATTCTTTTAAACAGTACTATATAAATCAGGTCTCAAATAGCCAGATCTCTATTCTGATACATTCTGGATCTT